TTTTTTTTTTTTTTTTTTTTTTTTTTTTTACTTAAGAACACTCTTTACGGCCAATAGGAAGTGTTTTGAGTGTTATATGCTGCATTATATTAACCATACGCGGGGTATTTCCTACAATCGCTCACCGTTTCTTGGATAATATGTAAGTGGTTGTCAAGAAGTTAGTTTTATTCGGTCCAAATTTCAAAGTCCTATATCGAAATATCGTCTATATTTCCCTGTATTTTCGTTAGTCGTATATTTATGTCAGCGTAGACTGGTGGAGAAATTTTTCAAATCATCTCTGAAACTAAGGGTAAAGATCCCGTTTGCTGAATTAACAAGGCAAGCAAACATTTCAAATTTCTTTTTCATCTCGGCAGCTGTCTAACCTGATATTCAGAGTCTGGGACTGGTTTTCTTTTCTGTCATTGCCGTTGGAAATAGCCTTGGAAGTCAGCACTGTCCACGTCTGAATCTCAGGGCATAGGTGTCACCCTTTGTGCTTAACGTCACAGAGCCATTTGGGCAAATCTAAGCAGCCTGCTTCTGTTAAAAGACGATAACATTCCCACCGTTTTTGGTATTCTCACTCTGGTTTAACTAAATATTAACACATGTATTTGAGACAATTCTAATTATTTATTCACCAATTAGAAACGTTTAGTCTGAGAATTCGTCCCCTCCCGAAACCGATGTGTTTGTGTATATATTCACAGTTAAGTGGCTTTCCTGCACTCTTGTATATTATCATAGTAACATCATACAAACTATGTTAGATTATGTTCTTGCAAAAGAATCTCAAGAAAGGGATTTTTATCTTAAATACCTTTAAGGGTCACCCCTAAGAGGAACTTTTTTATTTATGATAAAAACATGTTACGACATTAAAGTTCTCACGCACATATACAAAGTCAAATATTTAGGTGGTCCGTTCTACGTTCACTAAAATCAAGCTGGGTTATTTCCGATTTTCATCAAATCCAGATTAACCTGACCTTTCCAACCCAGCGTCTCCACGACAACATTAAAACGTCTGGACTTTTCGAATTGAGCTTAGATGTTGGTTTGTCAGCCTCGTTATCATCTCTTTGGTTTTCTCGGAATATATTTTTGGTCGGACAATCTGTCACTTCCCATTATAGTCAAACATTTCCTTCTCAATTTCTCTTTGAGAAGTCGAAGACGCTAGTCAAAGACACATTTCATCTTAAAACAAATAGCCACTGTATTTTTTTCGGGGGAAAAGAAAGGCGAATATTTGACGGACGGAGAGTAATACCACGCTTTGAAAGTTAAAACTTTTGTTTTCTGTTTTGTTTTGTTTTGTTTTGTTTTACTTTTCTTTTCATATGTGCTGTTTCTGAAGGTATGCTTGCAAAATAACAATAGGCAATAACTGCGTTTTTCAATTTAAAATTTCGAGTATCAGTCCAAACGTGAAAACAAGACATCAAAAATACAGTTGATATAAAGGAGTGCACCCCTCTCCTCCATCCGCCCTCCAATTCATATATGTGCCCCGTTATCACGTAAGCAATCGTTGCATTAGCAATAACTAGTCTGTTGTTGTATGTTTATGTCTGAAATATACCATAGGAAATAGCCTCTCAGATTTATAAATGCATTGCAGGACCTATTTTGTGGTTTCCCAGCGGGAGAACATGTTCTAATCTCAGTCGGTGTTCTGCTCGGGTTAGACGGGTTAAGGTCGCTGCCCTGGGTCGGGGGCCCTTTCCTGCTAAAGCGTTTTTCACTTAGTATGTACCGCCACACTGCATTAGTCTGAACATGCAGCGTTTGAAAGAAAAAAAAAACGAATAGAACACTCCAATTTTTCTGACACATGTGAAGAGTCAGTTTATTTGCCTTTTTTTTTTTAGGAAAACGCCAGACGTTGTATTTAATTTAATCATTTTGCTCAAACGTTTTGCACCGATATTCAGATAATGTCAGGGAGTTTTTTAGAATATATTGGGATCAAACTCTTTCTTCCCCCCTCAGTTGAATTGAACTTTCTCGATGAAACCTCTCCTTATCAAGAAGCACTTGTGATATAACTGTCAGACAAAAATGTTAGTGGATATTTTTCATATCAACACAGGATTCCTCCTTCAATCGTTTTTTAAGTTGTAATTGTGAAAGAATGTGTGTGCGTGCGGTTTGTGCGTGTTTGAGAGAGAGAGAGAGAGAGAGAGACAGAGAGAGAGAGAGAGAGAGAGAGAGAGAGAGAGGGTGACACCTACCTTGCTGTCCAGCAGCCATGTGACGTCCGCACACGATGACCGACGTAAAACAAAGCACAGCAATCCGTAAAGTACCCATGGCTCCGGGACAGGTGCTCCAGTGACTCACAGCCCTCTGTTACAGTATATGTCACGCTTGACGTGGAAATACTACACACCCGGCCCACTCAACACTTGTCTTAATGCACAGTCACCTTGCACGAACGCCACGATCCGTTCAACGACTTCTTTTCTCTTCAACCAAGAAACATTTCATTGCCTCAGTAGATGCACTACTGGTAGTATAAGACCGCTCCGCCTGCGCACTTCGACAGACTGGCTTTAGCCTGGTCGCCCGCGGCCCTTGCCAGACCGAGGTCAGTACGATAAAATCTGCACGAGTTTTTGTTACACGGCCTAGACCACTTGGACCTGGGCCTGTCCCAGTGTTGGGGATTAAAAAATGTAAGCTAAGGTCTTCGATTTAGTCGATGTTCTTGCCTAATTACATATAGCATTTTCTTGTATCAGGTAGGCTGCTAGGATGAACTCGTTTAGAAGTGCTAAATTAGTCAATTTGTGTTTTGGAAATAGAGCTTCAAAATATCTTGTATGTGAAGTTTCTGGTTTCCTCACTTTTACAAAATGGGTTCAAAATCAATTTTTGTCCGTCACTAGAAGCAGCCAGCATTTTTGAGAAGAAATGATGAAGATACAGGGGGTTTGGAATCAAAGTCTCTCAGTGGACAATTTAAGAGGAAATTCGATTTATGGGCTGTGTCCAAGAATATTTTATATAATATTTCAAGCATCCTCTCCTGAGGTTTCCTGGTCTAAATCGAGTTCACGTTGACTGCTTTTACCTGCAAATATTTCGATTGTGTTAGTTGTACGTATGAGTCGCAACCCAAAATACATTTTTCACAACTACACTACCATTGTGTTAGTTGCGTCACCAAAATTCACAGCCCGATATGCAACCCTGACAGCAGAGATTTTGATTGTGCTACATGTTGTGGCTAAAATTTTCTGCTGTTGTTCTGTGCTATCTTAAACCCTTGTTGGTTTTTGCCAATCCTTGTAAAAACTAAGTCTGCTAATGCACGAGCAGCAGCAATGCGTTCTACATAAATAGATTTGAAGAAGGTGCAGTTTGAAAGCTTATTTTTGGGTAACCGAACAATTAATTCAGTTTATCCTTTAGCACGTGGGTTATATTCGAGCAGTATAAGAAATAAGTACTAGTGATTTATACGTGTTACAAAGAATCGATGCTCATACACTGGTAAAAAAAAATCTATTGGCCTTTTGGGATAGTACTCAATCTGGATTGAAACTTCTCGTGTTAATTTCATATGGAGTTGTTGACATCTCTCAAAATTGAAATTAGATCCATATATAAAATTATTAATGATTAAAACAAAAATATGAAACTCGTTTTGTTCAACAGAAGCTCATATAAGATGTATTTAGTCATATGGAACAGATTTCGTGTTCTTTAAAATCAAAAGAAATAAAGTTGTGTAATATCTAAAACTTAAGACTAGGAAATGAGAAATGGTACCTTTATCAGTTTAAATGGCTGTTAATATAAACTACGCAATTCCACTTTTCCCACAGCAAAATTTCCATTTATTTCAGTATTAAATATTATAACAGACTGTCAACTGCTATTTCACCAAGCTGGACAACCTTTGTATGAATTATGTGGAATTCTATACAAGTCTGAATTCATTTTTCCATAGAAGAGGTGATTCAGTATACACCAATTTTAACAATGAAAAGAGTGTCAATTCAGGTTGACAACAAGTCACAAGATGACAAATTTTATTGAGAATCAAACAGAAACCTCTACTTTACTTTCCCTGAGAACACCATCCATGACCAGATAGCAAAACTAATGCCCCATCCCCCCCGAGTTTTTAGAGTTTCATACAAACTAATCCCCAATATCAGCTTGACGGGCATCACTGACAAAAAATCTCTAAATCAGGGTGACTTCATTATTATTCTAGCAATCTGAAAATATATTTTCTCTTTTCTAACACCTCTTCTAATATTGTATGTAACAACATATCAAACAATTTTAATATGCTAGATAATAAATAGGAACAATAATTATAATAACATGAATGACAATGAGCGATTTAGATAGCACATGAACTGTGAAATATTCTGATAAACTGTATGATATATTTTAAAGCTACAATATACAGTAAAATCAGATGTGTGTAAATGCCAGACATAAGCAGATGTTAAGATCTGTTTGTTCATTTGTTCCTTAGCCAATACAGATTTAATACTGACAGAGTAGATAGGGGGGACATCAAGATACCTTAGCCACCTTTGTACTAGACAAAGAGCTGGTTTAATCCTCTAACATTTCTATATGAAAATCATATAATAACACTTCTTTACTTCATTAACATGATACTTAAGTATTAATTGACACAATCAGTATTTCATAAACCAAGTTGTCAGTTGAAGTCATTGACCACACTAGCAAGGGTGAAGCAAGTGTATAGGATCTAAATGAGACTACAAAAATATCTATCCATATTCAGACAATGACCCTCAAATGTTAGATTATATATTCCCCTTAAACATTTCCCAATCACATATATATTAAACCATTTACAAGTTCCAAGTTTTGAAAAGAAATATACATATATAATAAATTAGTAATGTGATTCTCCATCAAACATATTTATCCTACCATTCATAAACATCACAACAAACAGGGCACCCTCTACTGAACAGCCTAACAGTAAGAAAAATACCCCGGCAATATGACTTCTAAAACAGCAGTGCCAATAAAATAAACAAAAAGCAGTTCAACTTTTCCTGTCCAAGCCGCCCTTAAAAAAAAAGCTATCACATACTAATATCACCAAAAGGAAAATGAAGCATCATAATCTTACGTTTTAAAAATTTATACAACATACAATTACAAAGTGCTCTACATTTGATTAAAATTACACAAACTGTGGTTCTGTGCATGAACAAGCCAAGTTGAAATGGAATGTACATCTCCCCAAGAACTTTCATCACCTTGATTGACACCTCTGCTATGAGTTAAATACTCCATGTGATATACAAACTGGTATAAGAATTGCAATGAAGCAAACCAAATTTCTCAGGATCAGTTTCCAATCTTTGGGTACGGCATGTTTTGCCAGAGTCTGTGTTATTTTGGAAATTTCATGAGCTACGCAGACAAAGATGAAGGATGTAATGACCACGTTAAGGACTGGGTAGTTTGGAACAAGGACTAAGATGCCATGGGTGTCTGCTGCTAACCATATATGATACTGGGCAATGAACAACTGGAAAAAAATTTAAAACAGTTAATTCAAAATAATGATAAGTCTGCTAATGGGCAATGAACAGCTGGAGAACAGCAATGAACAGCTTTAGAAAAAAAATAATAAACTGATTAAAATTTTTGTTACCATTTTTTTTTTTTACATTTTTGTCTGTAATGGCCCCATTCCTAGCAGCTTCTAAAACTCTTTTCTAAATTCAACTTCAGGATTAAAGACCTCATTTCTATATATTATAGAAATAAATATATATAAAGAAAATAAGCCAGTTGATATGAACAGCAATAAAAAAAGAAAATAAATGCTAAATCTCTCACCTCTAGAGATATTTTACCAAACCAGGCAAAAAATGAGCTATATCTTGACCTCAGCCAACCAGGAATGTTGCGTAGGCAGACAAATGAAACAATCTGGAAGTAGACAAAGTTATGTACAATTAGTCCAGTAACATCTAGACTGTCTAAACTTAATAACACAAAAGATTTAAAGAAAGGAAAAACAAGGCAGCAAAGCTGTCAAATGTACAGACAAAAAACAGAAAATAAAGATGCAAAATAGGTCATTTTGTCAATTTTGATGCAATAATAAATAATGCTTATAATAGCACTGTCAGTCAACACTGAATTTTAATCATGCACAACAGGTACCATGGTCAATAACAGGAGCGAACTCAGAGATATTTTCTGACAGTATTCCAAAGTATCTATNAAAAAATGAGCTATATCTTGACCTCAGCCAACCAGGAATGTTGCGTAGGCAGACAAATGAAACGATCTGAAAATAGACAAAGTTATGTACAATTAGTCCAGTAACATCTAGACTGTCTAAACTTAATAACACAAAAGATTTAAAGAAAGGAAAAAAAATGAAAATATTTTGATTTTTAATCAATAGACAAAAGGAATATCAAATATGTGTTTAGTTACTGAGTTACCCATACCTTATTGATTTCTTATATACAACAAGACGGCTCCCCAACACACACCTTGTTTATGCAGACTTTAGAGAGATGTCATGAGAAAAAAAAAAGGAAAAAAAAACTGTTGCCAGTTGATGGAAGACTTTGCTTTTTAGGTTAAACTTCACATAATTGTATCTTCATACTCACAGGAATAAAAACTATATAACTATGTACTCCATTGCACTCAGGTTTGGAACGACATAGCACTGAGAATGTTGTATAACTCTGAAAATATTCAAATGGCAAAGGTAATATGCTAAATCATATATATGTAATAGTACTTTTAAAATACATAATGTTTTTTATCTATCCTACATTTCTAAACAAATACTGAAACAATCTTTTAGCAGGGGCTAAATAATGCAGTATCATATTACAAAATTAATCATGACAACATTTTGAATTAGTGGGAAATAATAAATTTCGATGTTTGTACTTAAAAGTACAACTAATGCTTATGCCGTCATCATTTTAGGATAAATAGATTTTTTTTAACTCACCGCTAAACCTATGAGTGATAGTAAAACAACAACCCAACAAACTCCCCGTGAGAACAAGGTTTGATGGTTGGTGTCATCTATAAGTTCCATCTTTTTTAGAACAAGGTAACCAAAAGCAAATATCATCCCATATGTCACACTCTGAAAGAAGTTACATGAAATCAACATATTTGAAACACATTTTTTCTTATGTGATAATCATTTTTCAGGTTTTCAAATTCTGGATTACCAAAAACAATTTATTTTGCTTTAAAGCTTAATTTTTAAAGTTCAAGTGACAGGTTTGTGAAATTTTAGACAAAAAATCACTGAAAATAACATAAAGAAACATTAAAACAGACTATTTGAAAAGATGATGGGAATTTCAGGACAAAAAAGAAAGTACTATTCCTTTCAGTAAAGTCCAATAAAGTAACTATGGCAACCACTCACAAAACGATCTAATTCCCATCTGAACCTCCACTCGTGGATTGAGTCATCTGATAGAACAAACAGTGGCTTAAATGGTCGAGACAAGAACAATTTCTCGAAGAAGACCTGCAAAATAGATAAAGGTAGAAGACTAAAAAGTAATCATCATTTGACTGAAATACATCTTTATATCTGCAAGAAGTTAAAATTAAACAATGTCTCCCTTTTTGGATATTCCAATCCATAGCAAAATACTATCAACAAAACTGATAGTTTTAACCAATTTTTTTTTAATTGTGTAGAACGGGAAGCCTCTCTCTTTTCTTTAAATATACAATTATGCAAACCTTTGGATAACAACAATAATAATTACAGTCTGTCAAAGAACAACTGAACTGAAACACATTTCATAAAATGGCCCAGGTTGAATTTTAGTCAACTTTACAAACTGGCTATACGATTTAAGTAGTCTGAGCTAAGCCCATATATAATGAAATCTCTTTGTAACCTCACCTCTGAGAGATAAAGCAAGGATATCACAGCTACCAAGACTACAAACTTTAATATCATGTATAAATAGTGTCTTCTATGACCTAAAAATGAGAAGTTGAAAACTTTTTTAAGTATGACAATTCATATGTCTTAGGCAAGGGCAGTCCTTTAAGTTTGTCAAATTATTTTAAAAGGGCATAAGTTCAATCAAGTCAGCTTTCAACTTAACAGAAAGTTAAATTTTTCATAAAATGAATAAAACATCACAAGAAAAATATCTTAGGAAAGTCTGTTTAATAAATGCCAAAATAAACCTAAGATTTTATTCACCACCTTGTAAGAAAACACATTCACTTACTTTCAGTTTTGGCCTCTGTTACTTGTGGCCATATTGCCATGGTGATATAAACAACAATATACCAGAAAGAAACCAAGGGGACGAAGTAGTAGAACTGATATGGCCTATTCATCACAAAACATAGCACCACCACTAGTAGGTTCATGCGGAAGAGTACCTGAAATGGAAAAATAATAGTGATGAGATTCCCTGTGGTTCAAGTTCTATGGCATGCTTATATCCTACTACAATCCTACTGCTCCACACTGTTATATTAAGTGGATTCTTGAAAATTATTCAAACCAGCAGTGTTCTGGCTAAATAACAACTAAAAAGTTAAGTTTTTCATGAAATATTTAATTTGCTATTCAACTTTAAATTTTAAAATGTTTAACACAGATTGCTAGGATAGGGAGCTTAAATATTTGGGCAAAACTAAAGCAAAGGTCAAAGAATGGGACAGCATATGACTGGTTTAAGCTGAATGCAGTGAAATCCTGTAATTCAAAATGATTTAAACAACCATATTATTTTTTGTCACCTTAAAAATATATATGTGTGTCTTATCTTCCAAAAAGGTATTTCATACCTTAAATGATGCAAACCTTTTCTACACATGGCGAATTGAAACAGTTAACATTTACCTAAACCAGTATAGCTACTATTGATTTAACAATATTTCAGTGATGCTCTTAAAATGTTAAATTACCACAAATACCCTCTTGACTTATTAATCTGAACATCAGAATTCATCAAGACTGACAGAGTTTCAAGCAATCACAAACAAAATAACATATCACACATGGGCACATTCAGGGTTTTGATCAGGTGAATTGCAGACTAAATCAAGAATCCATTTATCATTTTTCCATCAATCATGTAATTTCCCTTCAGACAGAAGTCAATTTTAACAGTGGTTATCATATGCTGTGTCAAACAAGGGTCTCCCTTACATAAACCCTGAATGTACAAAAGTACAGACTTAAACAAATACATAACACATCAACAAGAAACAAAGCATGCTCTGCCTTTGAAGCAAGTTAGTTTGTAATAAAACATGTGAATTGATTACTGAGCCATTGCTTGGTAGGTTTCTATGGCAACAATATCCCTCACCAGTCCGCACTGTGGTACTACTGTAACCTCAAAGCTGTAGGTAACATATACTTCTATACGTCCCCATATCTTTAAATGAACAAATTTGGATCCTACAGCATAGCCTAGGTAAGGCCTAGCAATAGTACCACAATCTACATGTTACACTGACTTGGCCAACCCAAACTTTGGCTGCTGAGATGCAGTATTGGAGATTTAATCAGATAGCCAAGCTGATAAGTCAACTAAAGGTAAGTTTTGAAGCTGTCTTTGGTTGATTAAGTTTTAGGTTGTATGTGCTCTTTAAGAATTAATTCAACATTGATAAATCATGGAAAAGTGGTAGTTTTTTTTTTAAAGAAACTAATATTCTGGAGCCAAATTGGCAAAATAGCAAAACATGTTCTGTCTTTTAACAAAGGCACTTTCCTGTAGTCCAGTTCATGCAGTTTTGACATTTGAAAATCTTATCCAAATTCAAAACCCAAGACATGTCTACATCTAGAGTGAACCAAGCACAAACTAACTTACTTCACAGATACGATGCAAACTGTTGTTTCTTGTTTTGCAGGAGAAGAGACCGTGTCTGCACCTGCGACCACACTGAAAGCAAAAGCCTAGAACTCAGCAGCTAAACCTTTCTTTTACTCCCCTAACTCAAGGCATTGCAAACATTTGAAGAATGATGCTATTACCAGAAACATGGAGAAAAACACTGTAAAAATATATGAATTTGAATTTGACCATCCATAATCCTCGTCACAATGTTTTGATGTTTCAAATTCACCTAACATTGAATCTTTGGAATGATCTGTAAAACTGTCCATATCGCCTTCAACTCAAGAGGCCAGCATTGTATTAAATTGGGCAAACAAACAAGCAGTCATACTGGAAATTCTCTCTCTCTAGTCTGAGTGATCTTGCAAAAAAAGCAATTAAACTGCCTCAAATAATAACAGTTTGACTGACTAATAAATCTCATCTTCAAACAGTTTTTATGGATGTTCATTTCATCTTATTAACCAAATGCAATACATATCATTTATTATGCAAAAACTTGTTGAGGTAAGAAATGAAATTTATTTCTATCTTATATAAACATCTCTACAATGTCAATAATGGAGTTTACGGAAAGGCTGCTGTATATACATGTTTGCTGTCATTTGCTGAGTGAAATGAAAACATCTTGTTTAATTAGTAAAACTAGCATAATATAAGTGTGCAAACTGTTATTTCTGTGCAACACATGGAGCCCTAAGACTGAAAAGCACTGTCCTCTATCAAGTTACAAAGTTACCAGACTGATCTCCTTGCCCAATTTAAATTATAATGAGAAGCTGTTCAATTATCAACCAGTAATTGTTTAATAAATTTTATCATTTGAGTAAGGTCTCACCTGGCACAGTCTAAACAGGCCATAATCACCCTTCTTCCAGAAATAAAAAAAGTGTCCGAAGCCTGTCATAAAGAGGTAGGATGACACTAAAACACGTATGTGCATGTATATTGGCAAGGCCTGGAAGAAAAATATAAATTAAATTGTGTGGTTATTCTCTGCTTAACAGAAAACTAATTATAAAAGTAATACCAATGATAATAAGAATAGCCAACAAAACTAAAAAGCAGAACTGAGGCATAATAATGCACTATTGGACAGTGTATGTTCTTTGGGGCAAATTTCTAGACTCATTGTAGAATACCAAATGCTAAATATACTCAAATCTAACAGATTTAAACTATTCTTGCCAACTGCATCATCTATACAGTTCAAACATTTTGATGGACATACATGTAGTTATCCAACCTTTTCATGATCCAACCAATCGATTTTGTAAAATTTTTCACATTAATGACAAACTAATACATCATATGTTATATATGCTGTCTTACTTTACTGGCTCCCATGTAGTGATATATAAGAATGACCAACTGCATCCAGCCCTTCCATTCATCTGTCTGGTCCCTGTGCAATACTGAGGTCTGAAGAGGAAAAAACAACTTTTTCATTACCCATTTGTATCTATTATTTATTATATTTATCATATCAATATGAAATTAATATCAATTCATTTTACTTTATTCAACTATCATCTATTAACTATCACTTTATATGAATAACAGTCAAATTTCCTTTATTAATTTATAATCTATACATTTTCCATTATTATCTTTATATAAACCTTATTTTCATCATTTGGTCTTGAATTTTGTATTATTCATCACTTTTTCATTATCACTGTAAAATTAATATATTATTTAATTCATTATCTATTTCAATCAAATTAAAATTTGACAGTACTATGATTTCCTTCTATAACAAACCAGCAACACTTCTTTACCTGTTTAGTGTCTTCAGTGAAGAAAAACCCAAGTATCATAATGTATGCAAATGGCAGGAAGAAATTTGAGTGTGTGTAAAACTTGTTTTCTTTCATAAAAAATGTGGTCCTGAAAAATGGAGAAAAAAATTAACAGTCAGCTCACAGTCATAGATTTTTTCTAATCTTTAAGGCATTTGCCAAAACAAAACTCAATGAGACAGTATATAATGAAAATTAATCATTTCTAATGTCTTCATTATATGTGACAGCGGTCTGAGTCCAGACCAAAGGCACATCATTCTACAAACAATAAACCATGCCATACTCATTAACCAATTATCTTGATATAAAATTCACAACATTTCATTTCATTTCCTTCCTTTCTTTCTTTCTTATTTTAATTAACAAGATAATCAAGATATTTTAATGAACAAGCCCCACCTGTCACATAGGAAGCTATAAGCCATTATGATCCCAAACTTTGCCATGGCAACCATCACTTCATATATAACATCACAGTACCCAGGGGTGGTGGAGTCTGAGTCAGCTGCTGAGGATAAAAATGATAAAATATTCCTATCAACCTTGATATTTATGACTAATGAGCAAAAAAAAACAGTGTTTTTCTTTGCCTTTACTGAAACATACAATTCTCACCAAATGTCAACAAAATCAAATTATTTGGTTTAGAGAAATAAAATAATATGAACCCCTTTATTACTGATTCAAATGTAAAAACAGTTATTTGCTTTTACTTCATAAAAAGGCAACTCCATCTTTTACTTCTTAGATTCAATGTGCCATATAAATTAGTTCGTAAAAGAAGCATATGTTCATAAATAATTTAAATGCTTTATGGCACACCCTTTCCAATACATGATCATTAAAACCCAATTTCACAAATCCCAATATCCCAATATTGCCTTGTTCGGAATCACTGTTCAAAATTACAATCAAACAATAGAATGTCAAATCCTGAAGTAACTTACAAGTTGCATAACACAATAATTTGATTAATAAAAACTATGTACAGGTTATGGCTTATGCTGACGACTATATGATAACACATTGACGAAAAAGTGTTCAGAAAAAGAAAAAACACGCATATATAATAACTGTCAATGACAGTTAAACACCAGTCATTACGCAAGCTCTACCAGCATGCAAAGACAAGCGACCATTACATATTGATATGTTCTGTGACCTATCATGAGGGAATCTCTGCATAAAAGTTATTCTAAATTGTGTTTATACACATCTTAAATAATATGAATGAAATTCATAAATAAAATCCAACTCATATCTATATAATAATAATAATAATAATAATAATAATAATAATAATAATAATAATAATAATAATAATAAAGTAATGTAAAGCAATATAAACATACTTTGAAGTTGGTTTCATGATGACACTGTTCACTAAGAAGTTGTTCCTGGATAAACAAGTCTTCTTGAAACCAATACAGGTGTTTCAATCTAACAGGTAACATGACAGGGGGTCCTTGACTTCAGCTCTTACCATGTGCCAGAATTTTGGTGTAAGTCTTAATACAATATTATAATACACCTTAAAAGTACTGCAGCCACGGACTTATTTAAGCCCTTACCTGGGACATATAAACTTACTTCCAACTAGGCCATTACTATAAGTCGTGATTAACAACTTGTTCCAGCACATATTTGTACAATGTTAAATAAAAACAACAATTTAAACGAGACATAGCCATGAAAGGTTGAACCTGGAAACCACTGTAGCGCAAGGATCCCCTATATATAATATACATGTATACCTGATGATGCTATATTAAAACAATTATTTCAAAATAACATGCAAGATTTACATTTTCATTTTTATTCTATGGCTTTCTCAAATTGTTAGTCTGACTTTCATATGGACATTCTTTAGTAGTAATACAAGACTGACTATAGAAAAACAAAAACTGAAGATGCACATGCACATACAGACTCATCATGGAATGCCCGTATAAGAATGAAGCTATGAATCAGAATCATATAGAAATCAACAATACAATACCAGATGGTGTTTTAGAGGCACTTTCAGACATGACCAGAGGGGTAGTGGGAGCAGAAGTTTCAGAATCAAGAGCTAAAATTAGAAGATGTAACTAGTTAATTAAACTGACAACCTCCAGTGAGTACATCTTGGAAAATGTTATAACAAAGATATCTTAACTATAGAGAGAGGTTGTAAAAAAAATATCTTAACCTTATTCAACACTTCATAACATTTCTTTAATTGAAGAGAACAATTAAAAGTAAACAGGTGGATAAAGCAAAACATATTGGTGAAGTAATATTCAACAGTTTTAACAGAAAAATTAAAAATTAATATACATTAGTCATAAAACCACAGTGATATAACCTAACCCAATAATAAAACAGATTATTACGTAATTTACACCTAAACTTTTAACCTACAAAAGAACTGATAAAAGACAGATTTGTTAACTCAGGATTGGCAGGAGCAAAATGCATAAGAAATAAAAAAATCAGGTGAAAAAGAGGGTTAGCAGTAAAATTAGGGAGAGTATAAAAAGAGAGGGGGGGGTGTCAAATTGTAGCAACAAAAAAATCACAAAAACATTAACTGAACCAAGTCTATGTATTTGAAATCTAGCTTGTTCAACCACACATATGTAAGGTTAAAGGAAAAAATTACATACCATCATTAGCTACTGATTTCCTGGATTTTCTTTTGTAAATGACCATGACAACTGCAAGTACAATGCTGAAATGAAGTTAAAGATATTGTTAGAGTAGCCCATGCAAGTTTTAATTTATCTTAGTAAAAGACAATATTCAAATATCTTAGTCTACCTAGGGTGGAAAAAAGTTAACATCACTCTATGAACATCCTCCAAACTTAACCTGGACATGACTGAGACGTAGAGAAAATTTGGACTAAGGACCTTTTACTCTGCCTGAAGATAAACAACTAATCCAGTTTCTCATAAAAAAAGTGTCCCTTCCTTGGAGACTAAATTTTTGGTGTAATTCAATCCAGAATAAATGTATAGAAGAGCACTAAAATAAAGTAACTTTTGCTCTATCACTGCTTGTAAACCAGATCCAATATCATCATTTCAATGGACTACTATCAACTCTGTTCAATTTGAAGTAGATGAAAATGTTTCAACTTTTAGGTAAACACTAACTTTTGGCTCGAGTTATTTTATGCAACCTTTCGAATTACCACAAAACACAATTGAGCACGCAAAACAATGGACACATACCATATAGCAAATACCAATGCTGTTGCCTTCTGCACCTTTGTGATGGGTTCAGCATCACTGCAGCATGTGCCGTCATTGAAGTTCATATGGTCATTGCAGTACATGTTCAACAATATTTGGGTGTCCTAGAAAAAAGAGAAAATTGGCTTTTCTTACGAAAGGGCACGCATGTGCAAAATTGGTAAGAAATTCAAAAGCTGTTCACACTTCAAATTTATGACATTAACAGAATTGTCTTTTTAATCTTACGAAGATTGCAATTCAAATAAGCTCAAGATTTGCAATGTAAAATATAGCAAATGTAAATTTTTTTTTTTGTTTTGGTCAACAGAGACAGCATAGTTCAACTTTCTTCCTTTTTACTTTTTTAAGTTTATTTCATCATCTACTTTTATATATAATTTTTTCTCTAATAAATAATTTATTATTTTTGGTCTCTAGATGACATGGACAGCAAATGTTAAACTAACTGGCTGCATAAGGCTTAAACCAAGGCAGAGGGCGAGAACAAAAGAACCAGACATGCTCTGTCTCACATACACACAATCCACAACAGAGAAATAATTCATTAACCATTGGTAAGTACAGGAAAAACATCGTTTACCTCAGGAATATCCATTTATTTTACCGAAACCATTGTTATCTCATTAAGAGTGAGCCCTGCTCCTTACCCACTCCAGGGGGACCTTGCCTATATGGAGACCATCTGTGGAGTCCTCTGTGTGGCCCTGTGCAATGAGGCGGGAAGACTTCCAAATCTGAGCACCGCTATTCTCTCTGAAAAGAAAAATCAACACCCAAGGCATCAGTATGCTCACTAGCTCTTCATTCGAATAAATGAAAATTAAAAAAGAACTGATGTATAAAGAATTGCTGATTATTTCATTAAAAACTTGGGGTTGCGTTAAAGAATCTGTGTTGCAGTTGAAATAGGCAATCAAATCACCCAAAATATAGAACCATGATAGAATGGCCCTTCTGACAAATTTGTCATTCTAACCTGTATAATAGGAACAATAATTATTACCATTTCAAAAAGGGCAATGTGATATTTTTGGCTGTATTAACTTTTGGGTAACTTAGTGCTAACTGCACCACTCCACTTCAGTCCTGTTAACTCAAAAGAATCACCAAATGTGCATTTCAGTCCACCTAAATTCATTAATTTATTGCTACAGATTCAATCACCCCTTTTTCATCATTCTTCATTCATTTTAAGGTTATCACTAATCATTTGAATATCTTTGTTCTCTTATGCCCCTTTTTCTCATTGATCAATAAAATAAATGGACAAATATATTTTCTGTTAATAATACTCACAGTTCAGTGATGGCTGCTTTATTGTAATCATCTATTTGTTCATTGGTGATCATTGATCTGTTTGGACCAAGCTTGTCTTCTATCACTGGATCTGGAGATTAAAAAAAAATACTAAATAGCCTGCCCTCTGGGAAATTTCTTGTATTTTATTATAATTAAAAAGCCTTATAATTAAATATGCCAATGAAATTTAAAATTAGGTATATCTGTTAACAACCTGTTACTTATATCCAAAATTAGTGAAAGGGAGATTAAAATTGCACTTGACATTCTTTTAAACTGCAGATCATGTGCAAATTACATTTGGGATGGGGGGGGGGGCTAATCTTTACTCTAGTTTGCCCACTTACCCTGTAACATCCAAATCAGTTTTGTTCTGCTTTGTAACTGTCGAAACAGAGGTCTCATTTTTGTTAAATTGGCTGAAAGTAAGTATACAAATGATAAACTAACATTACCAGCAAAGCCCAATCTTTCCTATGGAGAAATCTGTTGTTTTTATTTCTAAGTAACAGAACTATAATAATAATAATGATAATATCATCAAAACTTTCTGAAATTGCAGTGATAGGTATTTGTACAGTAGTAGTATAGTAATGATAAAATTCTAAAATTGCAATCAATAAGCTGATATTTCACAACTCAGTGATTTTATTCATTTAATTTCTCAATAACTGCAAAAGTGTAATATTTCACAAATCCCATCCACTACCACCAGTTTAAGAAATTACTGTTAATAACTTGCCATGTTGCAGAACAGATGTTGATAATACTTCAATACTATACACGCTTACCTTTAAAATTCACAAGTGATGCCTCGCTTGCATTGAAATATTTAATGCTCCACTGAAATATTCATTAAACATGTTGGTATTTAACTGCTCAAGTCAACATAAATCATCAATTTCAAGATGGTCTTCCTTAAGTTACCTTTTGAAAATTTATTCTCTTATTTCAATGGTAATTGACCCATTTGAATCTTTAAATCAAATTAGCAAATTAACAAAAATATCTTATGCCCAAGTATAGTTCATTTGTGAGCAGAAAAGGAAATAAATCTTGGCTTTTCAATTCGTCAGCAAGTACTGCTGCAGTTAACAATATTAACTCTACCCAAGGGAGCAGATGCTGAGACAAAAGATGAGACACAAATAAAAACTGTCACTTACTGTGCCACTGCCAACCACTATGAAATTGGGCAGATGATCATCTGATTTGTTCCATGCTTTAAAAACATTGTACATGGAAAGATTCACAAATGGATACCACAAAAAATCCTGAAATAAATTGAAATGTAAAAGTATTTCTGTATGCATTTATCATATTATGTATTTCTTGTGCCTAACGATCGACTTCATTTTCTAACATAAAAAACCCTTGGGTATGATATATGCAATTTAGCTCACAATGATGTTGGATCTCTGAAATTTAATTTTTTTTTCATTTAATAATAAGCAGTGCAATGTATATACTCTTTCATAAATTTTTCTATCAAAAAGTCAATCATGTTCATAAATAAATAAATTTATCAACAACTGTTTGCATTTCAACAGTCCAAGGATCTCTGCAATGCTGAAGAATAACAGTGAACATAATTAACAGACAAGTAATGCTGTGTTCTCAATATATTGGGTAGCAAAGAGTGAAACAATTCTACTACTTAAATATACATAAAAAATTGCCACTCACCACTTTTAAATTTAAGTTTTTATCATTGAAGTGAACATCAGAGTGTTTTTTCTCTACTTTAAATTCATCTGTACTGAGTACATTAACAAACTCATAGTAGAGCTGTCGTATGCGAGAATCTCCAACAAAAGCAAAATGGCTGGAATGGCCCCAGTATGAGATGTAATGCATACAGTTTCTGGATTCACTGGAAAAACAAAATTATAATAGTATAATAGTATAATATAATGAAAAACAACAACAGCCATTGTGTACCAATAATTTCTTCATCAATTGATGATAAACTGTTCAAATGTTTTGTAGCTTAGGGCCCGAATAATCAATTCCTATTGAGTTTTAAGAACAATACAGGGAATTTAATGACAGTCTGAGTGAACATTAATAATTTAAAGTTAATGATCATGATGATTTGATGTGCCATGATGCAAACCTGCACTGACCATGTTTGGGCTTTTGCTATCAATTACATTTACCTCAAATTTTATTGATTTAATGACATATTTATATCCCTGGTTTGTCTGTACATAAAAGGGATGACTTCAATCAACAATGGACTTTAACAGGCTAAAATCTTCTTAACTAATGTTTATGCCTAAGTGTTACCATGCAAGAAACTTATTGCTAAATGCCCTGTAGATAGCTATATAAAGGTAACTAAAATCAAAGGACACCTTTTATCTGAGCTCTTTCTAGAAGTGAATTTCCTTTCAAAAGACATAAATATACCACTGTTGCCAAAACAATATTTTGAACTTTACCAATGATGCGTATATAGTGTTAACTGTAGGAAATTTTAAACTTTATTTAGCAAATGAATTAGGAATTTGCTATGCTAAAGTTACACCCCATTCTCATAGNAAATACTGTCACTTACTGTGCCACTGCCAACCACTATGAAATTGGGCAGATGATCATCTGATTTGTTCCATGCTTTAAAAACATTGTACATGGAAAGATTCACAAATGGATACCACAAAAAATCCTGAAATAAATTGAAATGTAAAAGTATTTCTGTATGCATTTATCATATTATGTATTTCTTGTGCCTAATGATCGACTTCATTTTCTAACATAAAAAACCCTTGAGTATGATATATGCAATTTAGCTCACAATGATGTTGGATCTCTGAAATTTAATTTTTTTTTTCATTTAATAATAAGCAGTGCAATGTATATACTCTTTCATAAATGTTTCTATCAAAAAGTCAATCATGTTCATAAATAAATAAATTTATCAACAACTGTTTGCATTTCAACAGTCCAAGGATCCCTGCAATGCTGAAGAATAACAGTGAACATAATTAACAGACAAGTAATGCTGTGTTCTCAATATATTGGGTAGCAAAGAGTGAAACAATTCCACTACTTAAATATACATAAAAATTGCCACTCACCACTTTTAAATTTAAGTTTTTATCGTTGAAGTGAACATCAGAGTGTTTTTTCTCTACTTTAAATTCATCTGTACTGAGTACATTAACAAACTCATAGTAGAGCTGTCGTATGCGAGAATCTCCAACAAAAGCAAAATGGCTGGAATGGCCCCAGTATGAGATGTAATGCATACAGTTTCTGGATTCACTGGAAAAACAAAATTATAATAACTAGTATAATAGTATAATATAATGAAAAACAACAACAGCCATTGTGTACCAATTATTTCTTCATCAATTGATGATAAACTGTTCAAATGTTTTGTAGCTTAGGGCCCGGATAATCAATTCCTATTGAGTTTTAAGAACAATACAGGGAATTTAATGACAGTCTGGGTGATCATTAATAATTAAATGTTCATGATCATGATGATTTGATGTGCCATGATGTAGAAACCTGCACTAACCATGTTGGGGCTTTTGCTATCAATTACATTTACCTCAAATTTTATTGATTTAATGACATATTTATATCCCTGGTTTGTCTGTACATAAAAGGGATGACTTCAATCAACAATGGACTTTAACAGGCTAAAATTTTCTTAACTAATGTTTATGTCTAAGAGTTACCATGCCTTGTAAATAGCTGTATAAAGGTAACTAAAATCAAAGGACACCTTTTATCTGAACTCTTTCTAGAAGTGAATTTCCTTTCAAAAGAAATAAATATACCACTGTTGCCAAAACAATATTTTGAACTTTACCAATGATGCATATAGTGTTAACTGTGGGAAATTTTAAACTTTATTTAGCAAATGAATTAGGAATTTGCTATGCTAAAGTTAGTCTCAGATTTGTGGTCACTGACCTCTTGGAGTATTTGTGCATCATACAACCATAAGGCTGCCAAGCGTTATATCCCTGGAACCTGCCATCACTCAGCAGCCACCGGCAGGAGTCACTCCCTGGAAATATGCCACAAAATTACTAACTAGTACAGATATTTATGTGCTAAAATATGGCTATAAAATCGCAGACATCTACCATCTGGGGTAATATGTGAGAAGTGGGATCTTGACTTTGATTACCCAATCATTTAAAGGGATAATAACTCTTCGTATGAGATCTATATTTCACAATAAGAACATTTTGAATAACTCATAGAAATATAATATATTCTGTTTTACCACAAAACGGCAGTTATAGCTATTATTCTGATATCTGAGCTTGTCTTTAGACCACGTGACCTCCATTGATGGCTATACTCTGTTAAAATCTCTTAAGAGATTTTAACAAAATAACAAACTTTTTAGAAAAAAACCAGGGACCAACTTTGAATGTAAAAATGGATTCATTAACCATTGGTAAGTATGGGAAAATTGTTGTTTACTCCAGGAAAATTCATTTTTTGGCCGAAACGAAGAGTTATTATCCCTTTAATGTGAATAATAAGCCTAGCTAAGATCCCAACTTTTAGACCATTCTGATTCACCAATTGACAATTTGAGACATATGGGTTTGTATAGCTGAAAGTTTTACTATGATCTGCCAATCATTTCCTAATTCTGAGACAAAATGAAAGAGAATGTGAAGCCTTGTACAAAATGTAGATGAACAGGTCTGCGATCATACTAGTAGCTGCAACATATTTACTACAGTACATTGATAATACATATTTTTTTAGAATTTTATATTGTGGGGGAGGGGGTGGTGTCACTTTTCAACTTTACATACTAAGCAGGTAAAACCTCATGACACTGTGTTAGAAACTAGACAGGCTCAGAGACACAGCTAAAAAAACAGATCAAAACAATATCAAACTGATGTGTGAACCAGAAAGCATTCATTCAATTGCAGGTGGTAGACTACAAGGTGAAATGTAGGAACACTGTATTTCACCAGAATATTGATATTTATAGCCTCAAGAGTCTGTAGCACTGGGTGTTATGAGGCCTTACCTTCGGTAATAAGTATGGAGCGTGAACGAAAACAGAGGCCAAGGGGGGGGGGTCTCAGATTTGAACTAAAATATTTGATCTATGAAAAGATTCTCTTTCTTTTCCAAAAATTTTTCCATATTGTATGAATCACTGCTGAATTCAAATGCGTTTTCACAAAAACTGAGATTTGTGAACACGTCAAAACCAGCTGAATAAACACTAAATCGCCAGCAAACTGGACAACAGTTAACACTCTAATCGAAATGACGGGATCAAAAAAACACGGCATTTCAAATGTTTAAAAAGTTATTTCATGAAAACTTACCATTTTTCAGGTGGATAAATCCATGATATATAATAAACCCAATAACGATGCTAACTGCTACCAATTTGCAATTTTCTACGTTTAAATAGTAAGTGATTTCGTGCGCTGCACTTTGTTTCTTCTCTGCCATCTTACAATCTCGCAAATTCTCGCGTTCCCAAGACGATCTTATTCCGATTCTAAATCCTTTCGAAAGAGACGTTTGCATCTTAAGTTTGCATAAGTGAAAGAAACGCCAACATTACATTTCCAGAAGTATACAGTTAACCTAATGAACGAGTTTCTTCATTAGTCACTCGGTCACGTTATAATTGTAACTTTATTTTAAACCTCTGACATTTTCTAAAATGATTTTAACCTCCGCCAAGGAGGTTAATTATTTTTTCACCCCTGTTTGTCTGTTTGTCTGTCTGTCATCAACATAACTACAAAAGTTAAGGACCGATTTTGAAGAAATTTTCAGGAACTGTCAGAAGTGGGCCAAGGAACAGATGATTAGATGGTGGTGATCCGGATCAATAATCAATCAATAATCAATAATAATAATAAAAACTGCTGCCTTGGCGGAGGTCTGCGCTCTCGGAGTGCTTTTCTAGTTACAATACAATACAATAAAGTTTATTTTGTCGGAAAGAATGAACGTACAAACATTAGCTGAGTAGCTATTCACCGACAGAGTTGGGTATGTGACGTTAATTTAAAGTGCTACATTAGCACTTTCTTCTTTTCCTCCAGTCCAGTCTGTTCCTTTTCAGTCAGCCAGCCTGAGTACGGGCGGTGGCCAACAAATTAGTTCCATTTAACGTTATATCAACCAATATTACCTTTAATAAATCGGCCTAGGCCAGTTTGAAATCCCCATTTTCCATTGAGGGATTAGAAAACATTTTTTCATTTTTTTGTCCCACATATGGATTCTTTTGGCTGCATATCAGTCCCACATGTACTTTGACAAACATTTTAGTTCATTTTTACATTCTAGAACATGTTCATAATAGTTATTCTCAAAATGTTTTTCAAAGTACATAGAGGCCTACATGCAGGCAAAAGAACCCCTATGTGAAATTTCAATCTCACTTAGGCATATTTAAAATCTGTCTGGATTTCAATCTTTCCTGTGAGATAGATAGATAGATAGATAGATAGATAGATAATTAGATGGTTGTCATGACAACTGTTCATATCACAGGCATGTAGTTTTGGTAAAAATATTTATGAAACTTGTAATTTGTTTTGGAAAACACAACTGGAAACACAAAAACATGTTCATTCAATTAAAGAATTAAATTTATTAGTATCAAATCTACAGTAAATGTATGATTTTATAAAAATTATACTAAAAAGACCAACTATATCCTAACAGACTGATAAGTGTTTGAAACACATAAATTAAGATTTTACATTTCCATAAAAACACTCCAAAACTTACTTTAATTCTCTGTTTTGGGTCAAAATTTTAATATTCAAATTCCCCCACGAATCCTATTCTATCCAATGCATTCTGTGCTGTCATCATGAATAAATTTTTATGCCCCCCTATCACCCAAACCATCTTCAACACTGTCTTTCTACTGCAAAGTATATACTGCAATAACATTTTTAAAAACTTCAATAAATAGTTAAAACTAAAAAAAAAATTTTTTAATCTACGTAACTATTACTGCATAAAAATAACATTTAAACCGAATAAAAGAAATTCAACATAGGAAAAAATATATAAATATATAAGTTGTCAATTGTTCTGGGAAATAGGCTTGAACTTTGAAGACCGAGTCCAACAGAATTTCTTCTCAACCCTTTTCAATCATTTCTTTTGCAGTTTCTTTAACAATGTTTACATGTTGTCTATCTATTGTTAAATATTCAAGTCCCCCCATGTCTCTCAATCTAAACGAAATTGAAATAGTTCGGTTTCTTGAGAGTGATATACAAGCAACGTCTATACCGACAGTAATAGTGGTGTCTTGAATATCGGAGTAGATAAAAATTATCCAAGTCTGCTTTTGAAAAATTTCCTATTTATTCCAGCCATATAAACAGTCTTTTGATACTCTCCAGTTCCCCATCAGTTGGCAGGTCGTCTGCTTTTCTCTTATCTGGTCCAAACCATGTAAAACTGTCTACTTTCATATATTGCTAGATGTCTGTTCAATGTAATCTGTCCATTATTCTGACCATTTTTCCATTCGTACTTGCGTTATTTTTGTGCAAGTAATTATCAGTAAATGTATCAACGGAATAATCAACCGAGATGTTCCAGCCACCTCTAAGTATTTCCGAAGTATTTCACATTTCATTTTGTATCTCATTATTTGACCTGTAACCAGCGCCTAGGGTACTCTGTACCAAAGTGACAGATATAAAAGGCACATTTTCCACATTTCCATGTGGAAAATGTGCCTATAATATCTGCCACCCTGGCAGAGGGCACGGCTAGGGTATGTTTCGTTCCCCGAACGTCAATGTCTGATAATGGTTAATTAGCTGTAGGACATTTTAATCTCTTTGTGAATTCCTGTGTTAAATGGAAGATTGCGATACGATTCCAACCCCTCATTTCTTAGTGTCAGTGAGCAAAAAATTGCATCTCCACCCATTGATTTTTCCAGTCTTTCGTTTGTATCCTGTCTATTCTCAATAACGGTATATGTGTAAATGAATCAATCGATTTAGCAATATCATATTTTGATCTGTATATATGAAAAAAATATAGGCCTACGGCATTTCCGTTTCACCGTATTACTACTGAGCCCTTGGCAGGTCTTAAAAATTTCCTATGCATTCTAGCCATTTAACCAGTCTATTGATATTCTCCAGTCCACCATCAGCTGGCAGGTCGTCTGATATCGTACAGGAGGAAATGCATTAGATACATGCTTCCAGGGTCCACGTAGTGAAACGACACCGTGTCCTCGCTCAGTGTGTCAATGCCCTGAAATGAGTTTAAAGCAAGGTTATTTATGTATTTTTATCTCGTATGTAGCGGGCAATGCACAGGAGGTCAAATTATAAAATCAATATAGCGGTTGGGATAAAGCTTTGTGAGGGGTTTAGAGAGTGGTTTGTGACCAGGCCACATCTAAGCGTGTTCACTTCGGGGAAATTACGGACAGGCTTTGTGATCGCTGATTCAATACAAGTCGATTTGTATGGCCACATTGAACCATATTTTTTTTTCTGGGAACTAGATAATGTTCAAACTGGTTTGTTGACAACGAAAGGCTTTTATAAAACAACAGATCTTTATACTACTTGTTACTGTCGAAAAATACTTTTCAAGTCTATTGCTTTGCTCATTTGTGCGTGTGTGTTGTTTGTGTGTGTGCCCGACAATAGAAGCCATAATGTTATAGATTTTTTTGTACATAGATGATAGACCCAGGATAACCGGGTTTAATTTTTATACTGGCAATATTTTAGAATATTGAATATTTTAGAATTGGCTTATCAACACACTGGGAATACCTCATTGACAGGCCTGGGACTTATGTTCGGCAATAAATGATTGTGTGCTGGCAAGCAGATCACAAAGCCCATTAGTAATCTGTTGACGTAACAAAGGAATGTGTTTATAATTGCTATACCCTAACGAAATTTAAGACAATAAATGAAAGCTAACATAAATATTTACAATACGTTGGTTTGCATATACCCCCACCAGGGCCTCACAGTGCATATACGTCCAGCATTTAACTATAGAGACATGTTTATATACATCTAGTAAAAAAAAAAGCTATATGTGGCCCTGGTAGAGGATAACTTGCATATCAGAGAGCTTTAACAAGAATTAGCAACATTCTTTAACAACACAACTGGATTCTGAAAAAACTTTCAAGTTAATTATCCAAATTTTCAGCACACTTTTATTCCTTTGTTTTCACACAACTTGGACATAATAACGCAATTTTGTGCATGCACACAAGAAGTACAAGTTATAGGACCAGTTTTATATGGAGCGTTTAGCAATAACCAATACTTGAATCAAGCGCTTAACTTAAACCTAGGACGAATATTGCGTCCTAGCTTAAACGAATTTTAACCGTACGGTTGTCTCATAAACGCCCTTTAGCACTAACTAACAGTTAAATCTCCTAAACTGTTGTTTAAATTTATACGTTCCAAACGGGCAGTTAAATTACTTAAACGCTGGATAAATATGACAAATCTCCTGAGACTTGTCAGGAACCCTCAAGTAAAAGATATCAGTTTGTAAGATTAAGAAAGAGAGTTTTTGAAGAAATATTTTCAATTCTGGTATAATAACTGAAAGGAAATTTCATATTTGGAAAATATTTAATATAATTTAATGATCCTGCTCTAGAAAATGATAAAAATCACACCTTATTACCTCAGAATTTTAGGCACAGAATCATTTCCTTGGTATCTTTTTTCAACCTTCATGTCAAAGATTGTGTGAAGACAACTATAAAGGTTAGGCTATGTGTATGTTAGTTATATGTATTATGGGTCTTTTGGTTGTTTATAGCAACATCATGCATTCTGGGTAATTTCATTTTCAAATATGGTCTGGATAAGTTGTTCATAGCAAGCAACCACTGGTTTAACTGTTTAAACACCGTTTTGCTAACCGGCTGCTTAACTGCCCGTTAAAACAGTTTTAATCATCATTTAGTTAACCGGTGTTTAGAGAATTTAACAACTGGTTAGGCTTTTACGCTGGTTAGTGCTAAACGCCCTTTATAAAACTGGACCCTGGAGGTCAAATTAATATTGATAGATCTTTTTTTATTTTATGATTCGCAGGTTTTTGCTCTCTGAGTACTATTATTAAAAGCATTTTTTATTTTCTCACTCTGGTATTTCCCGCCAGGCCCGGATACCTAGATATATAAAACCACTTTGGAAGGTTGGGGTCAGCTCCATTTATCATTGTGACGGGGTGAAAGGGATGAAAAAGTGTCCTATGATTTGCATCTTGTGATTTCCCAGTCTTAACACCGATTTTATATAAACATTCCCCGAAGTCCTTGTCTTCAAAACGTCCTGTGGTTGGACAGAGCTTTTGACTTAATCCCACTCGGTAAAATTTTTCTAAAGCACTTTTACTAATGACGTATCCCGCACCCCCGCTCATGTAAGGAGAGGATAAGAATAATTGAGTGGGAAAACCAATGAACCAAGGATGATCTGGATTGTATGACGTCAGTAAGTGACGTAAGTTCTCTGTGAAGATGTATGTATCGTCGTCTGCTTTGAGAAACCAATCCGCGTCATTGATATGATGCTTGTAGACATACTCAAATGCGGCGAACGTTTTTTGTGTCAAAGTCTCTCTAGAGTCTACTATGTTGAAGACTGTTGTGTTTAAAGCGTCGTCTTTGTCTGAAGCAACGAATAATCTGACATCACACCTCCTGGACCATGTGTCTTTCACCGCTTTCGCTTTCGTTTTAAAGTTTCTCTTGGTAGTGAGAATCCAACAAAGTAAACGAGGATGATATATTTTTTTATGATTTAATGAAAGTGAAGTACCTGGAATGAGACAAATGGTAGTCACGAAATTGTGAAAATCCATGTACAATATTTGTTCCATTTTGAATGATTATCATATGCCTTTCTATATGTTGTTATATTAAATTAAAACTTCAAATATCTTGATTATAATTCTTATCAAATAAATAAACTAACATCATCATTACGTACCAGGACCATTGACTGCGTAGTAAACGTATGTGTTCAACAGGACAATGAATATAACAGCTGTTAAGACAAATATCTTGAATTGTTTTCTATTGGGTGCCATAAGGGAACTACTACATTGTACGTCCATACAGGCTGAAACAGACATTCACCCAGTTAACTGTATGTATCTGTAGATTACGTTATAATAATAATAATAATAATCAGTAGTAATAATAATTATTTATTTATTTATTTAATTACATTCTCAATCCATTTAAAATGTTCGGTAGACTTTACAATTTTACAAAATATGTAAAATGAAATAAAGTAAATTAATTAATTAACATCTTAAATATAAAGATTATAAATATATAGCAGACTTCGATGTTAATCACTGGTCCGACGCCCACGACCAGTAAAATTTCGTGCTGACCAGTAGTTTTTTTTTTTTTTCAAAATGTGTGAATTCATTGATCCGACATGGTCAATAGATTTTTTTTTTCATTTCAGACTAACGTTTTTTCTAAAAATTTAATATGTTTGAGTCATGCTGCAGGGTTCGACATACCTAAGTGCGTTACTTGCCCGGCGCAAGTGATTCTTGCGGTCGAGCAACTAGAAATTATTTTTGTTGTACTTCCCCACAAACGCAAGTGACTTAAAGGTACACAAAGAGGATTTTGGCGCCAAAATTCATATCTAACCAATTATCCCGGGGTAAACGGCATTTTCTCTGGATTTAAAAACCTTCTTGCGCTGCACCTCTCTGAAATATTTTTGGAAAATCAAGATAATCTGACCGAAAAGCCCCTCAATTACCACTCTTGCGGATATTATCTCGATATTTTAGTGATCGACGCTGTCTCTCTACACTGCATTTGAACAACCCTCTTGGCCTTTATTTCACTATTCTGAGTAGGCCTAAACACTAAGAGAGATACGAAACTTTACCTATGGAAATCAAATCAGACTCAATTACCTGTATTCAGTGTCAGCTACATTTGCAGGGTATGGTATTACACTAATGCCACACGAGATCAAAACATGGCAAATGATAGCTTAACAAATTAGGCCTAATGTAAATTTTACCTACGTAGATATCAAAGTTTGTTAAGACAGGTCATGTGAGTTAACAGAGCCGAGCAACAGCCAATCAAAGAATAGGGCCTACCTGACCATAGTACACGATGTTGGCCTCTTGAAACATAATAATAAGATTTTGGGCAATACCGGCCTACACTATCCTCGAGCAAAGTTCATAATGTAGCCTTTCATGATGGACGATGTCAAAAAATATGGACCCAAAGTTAACACTTATTAGTGAGTCACTCTAGTCTGCCCTGCTTATTCAAACACGTTCCCCACAATTTACCGACGAAATTGCACTTTCAACTTAGGTCGCACAATGTGAGGACATTCTAAGTGATCTTATTCTGAGTAGGCCTAAACACTAAAATGTTCTTACTCGACTATTGAGCAATCAACACGTCGCTGTCTGAACCCGCTAGCTCACAATAGTGACCACAGGCAACGCAGGTGACTGTCCTCACCACCTCTACTGTACCGCTATCTGTAAGCACCACAGCCACAAAAGCGAGATACTTATGTGCCACATTCCAAACGGTGATCTGCCAAGCAGACACACACACAAAGGCGAGACACCTTTGTAAGGACGAGACGTCCTAGCACATTTGTGCACCCTGCTCTGCATAAGCAGTTACACACAAAGTCGAGACACCTTTGCGGAGGAAGTCCGACAATACCAGGACGAACACTCCTTCCTGTGATAACCATAGCGTTATACACAGTACTGACCACCCCTCCCTAAAACCCCCCTTTTTTTAGGACTCTGCAGCTGATGAAGGTCACTTGTTGACCGAAAAGCGCTTTCTGCAACCAGTCCAACCTCCCCCTTTTTCTATTTCCCCGCTCTGTGCGTATTACGCCGCTCTGTGCGTATTACGTACAATCGGCCCTACAGGTCAAACACATACAGAGGCGAGACACCTCTCTCACATCTTACTGAAGTGAAACAACAAGCCGATAATTCTTAATACGGCACTTTTATAGTTATCTTACACAATTCGTATCAGAATTATTAGAGCGCATTCTCAACGAATTAAGCCAGGCTTTACAAAGCCGGTGACCTAAAAATGGCGGACGTACATGAAAGAAAAACCGCCTAATCTTTTAATAGTCTCTCCGCCTCCCCACACGTCGTCCCTGCGGGGAACAGTAATCAGGCCTACCCAACTACCAGACTCAGCACCTACAGATCCAGAATAAACCGGTATATCAGACCACACAACCCGTTTTCAAGGTGTGTGTCAGATCGCATTACAGAGTATCATACCCCATCACAAATTTTGTAAGCCTACCTGTCATCCGGGTATCGCGCCTCGTTTTCGTCAAGTAGGAGTCGTATGAATACAACAACATGGAAATCGGCAATCCTCGGCTCATTCCGCAAGCTCCATACTATTGTCGAGTGCGGAGACATCGGAGTAGTTCCGAGTGACAACATGGCGACAGACGACTCACTGAATCTCGCCCAGAAAATATTTAACCCCCGACAGAATATGCTTCCGCTATCAAAATTAGGTCTACTTTTCTAAATGAATATAAGTTTGCAAGTTCTTATTTACAAAACATCATTGGCTATGTTCGAACCTTAATTTTATGTTAAAAATTGCGGTATT